ACCAGGTCACATGGCCGGCAAGCCACTCCCACCAGGTCACATGGCCGGCAAGCCACTCCCACAAAGGAGGCCACACCCACAGAGTAGGTTCGAAAATTTTTGAAACCCACTACTGCTACCAGACTATATAAATGGCAAATCTCTTCTAAATACAAGGCTTGCCGGTTTATTTTGGCAGAATTTCAAGAGTTATAAAGGCAGACGAAAGGTTTAACAAAGAAATGGGCTAAGGGTAAGGGATAAAAGGAGCAGCTTCTAATTTGGTTGCGACCGATCTGGATAAAAGTTTCTGGCATAGTTGCCGGTGTTAAGCTGGAGTGTAAATCAAAAACAAACAAAAAAAAAGAATTCTGGAGACATGTTGGTTGCCAAAGACAGGGATCAACCCTATAATACAATAATCTAACAAAGGGAAATAATTTACCTCTGAGCTAATGGAAAATATACACACAGCAACCTATGCTGTATTTTTCACATGTATTTTTTTTTAATATAAAAAATACTCCCAGGCAGAAGAAGAAAACAACAAGCCCAGATATAATTCAGAATTTCCTGCCTGACAAACAGATGGGAAACAGTAACAAGCTGATGGATCACCTGTGAAGCTGTCATCACATATAGGTAGGCCCCGCTGCTGTTCAGTAGCAGATCTGAGTTGACAGGAGAATTCTGACCAGTGGGCATCGTGCTGTAGACCTGTGCCACGGAGCCATTCAGATAAACCTAAATAAAATAATAGAAGCATCACTGCCTGTTCTCAAGGTCCTGAGCACAGCAGTCTCTAATGTGAAGCCATCAAGATGCGCATGGGTTTCAGTTCCCCAAAAATCCCAACTAATAATTCCTAGTACAGGTAGGTGTGGATGCCTCCCACCCTTTGCACCACTTGGGAGAACTGGTTTTTAACTTTCTGAGCAGTTTGGTGAACTGGTTGTTGGAAGAAATCATTAGAGCAGAGAACCGGTTGTTATATTATTTGAAAACCATATAATAAATTATTTGAAGGAGGGAAGGAAGGAGAGAAGAAAGGAGGGAAGGAAGGAGAAGGAGGGAAGGAAGGAGGGAAT